AAAAATATATGTCTTTGTATTGCTGTACGTCCTTCATTCTAAATAAAATAAATCTGCGTAATTTCATTTAGTTATTCAGGTATTTTCGATCTTTCAACAGCTGAGCTCTATGAAGTATGGCGGAAGGTGCCAGACAAATTTTACCATAAAACAAGAAAGGAAGCTAACTTCGGCACGCCGAAGTTTGTATACCCTTGCAGATTGGTTTTGATGTTTATACTATAGATTTAAATGCTGAAAACACTCACAAAACAGAGTTTCATTACATTTGTGACGAATAACGCACAAATAAATAAATATTATATTAGAGAATAAGAAGAAGACACAAATATTAGAGACTAAGAAGAAGACACAAAACATGAAGACACAACAAATACATATATATATAGCAGTAAGAGACAAAACTTGAAGACACACATATATATATTAAGATATAAGAATAAGCGACAACAACTGAAGACACAAAAGATACATAGGAAATAAGAGACAATACTTGGAGTAAATAAAAACAAAGAACAAACAAACCAAAATAAAACGAGCGCCAGTTTAATTTAAATGCGCGCGCGCGCCACGAACAGAGAGAGGTCACACTGGCCCGCTAAGGGCTGGCCACACTATTATGGCAAATTCCTTCGGGAGCGACAGCCACACTAGAGCGCTCCAGAGCGCTATATAAGGCGAGCGCCAGCCGTGGAATGGCATTCAGTTTTCGGCCGGCGATCGGCCAAGTCATCTAACAACTTCTCGATTTTAGAAGACCTAAGGGCCTCTAACAACCTCTCTCATTTAGAAGACCTTAGGGCCTCTACAAACTTAGAAGACCTTAGGGCCTCTACAAACTTCTCCTCTTAGAAAACCTTAGGGCCTCTACAAACTTCTCATCTTAGAAGACCTTAGGGCCTCTACAAACTTCTCATCTTAGAAGACCTTAGGGCCTCTACAAACCTCTCATCTTAGAAGACCTTAGGGCCTCTATAAACTTCTAAAGATTGGAAGACCTTAGGGACTCCACAAATCTGCTCGCTAACTGGAAGACCTCAGGGTCTCCGCTAACAAGTTATTCCACTAACTGGCAGACCTGAGGGCCTCCACCAGGTATTCTCACTCTAGGAGATCTGAGGGGCATCCGCGCATCGGCGTTTCACCGACACTGTCGACCCGAGCGGAAAGGATGTACCTGACCCTGAAGTGCGGCGTTCCAGAGCGACTACCCACGGCAGCAGACTAAATCCAATCTTTTTAACACTTGTAATGTTCGAGGCAATAAACAGATAATTATAGTTACGGCATATTTCTCGGCGTTCTACTCTGGGACCGGGTCGGCATCTCTTTCAGCAACCACCTCAGACAACAAATAAATTTCTGAGACGAACCCTGGCCATCCTTGAGCCCCGAGGAATGACCTAACCGTCACAGTGGCGCCCGAACAGATTGAAGTGGTTGCAAGGAACAGACCGACACCGGCAGAGTGATGTCAAGCTGGGTATACTTAGCGTCGAAAAACGAACTTACGGAATACGCGGAAGAGTTCGGATTAGAGACGTCAGGAAAAAACGAAGAGCTAAGACGGCTACTGGCAGCGTTTGCCAAGAGGACGGATCATAACGAAGAGATCAGACAACGGCTCGCCGAGCTAACGATAAGGCACAAGAGAGAGAAAAGTCCGGCAAAAGATATCGTACCGGAAATCGTAATATTCGAGGAAGGGGAGCAAGAACAGCAAATCACCGGACCAGCGGTGAGATACAGAAGGGACAAAAACCCGGCAGAGATAAATCCGGAAAGCGGAGAAAAGGAGCAGGACAGTGAGGAGGAGGCAACAACAAGCGCAAAAGCTCGGGTCAGAGCAGCGAAGAAGGAGAAGCTAAACGGAACAATGGAAGAAGGAAAAGAAAGGAAAATGGAGTGGAGGATGGAAACAGAGGTGGTTGACCGAGTACGGAGCTGGGGAATCCGATACCAAGGGACAACAAACCCACTGGAGTTCTTAGACAAAATGGAGCAGTGGGCGTCTGGGTACGGCATTCAGGAGAACCAGCTCGTACAAACCATGCCATATATATTGGAAGGAGCCGCCATAGACTGGTGGAACACTACTCCAACCAAAATAAACACATGGAAGCAGCTGACAACAGAACTACTTTAGTACTTTCTGCCTCCAAGGTACGAGGAACAGCTAAGAACGCAGATCGCACAGCTTAAACAGCGTGATTCAGAACCGGTGAGGGAATACGCTATGGGATTAAGAAAGCTGATGCGATTCACGAAGCTATCAGAAGAGGAGAAGCTCGACCGCATATTTAACAACTGTAGGAGCAAGATCAAGCTCTACACGCGGAGATCAGGATTTAGGTCGCTGACGGAGTTCCTCAAACTAGCGGAGGAAGTGGAAGAGATCGAGGCAGCGGACCAGCCGCGACACAACCAACCAGCACAGCAGCAAATACGGCCGGAAATTTGTATGCGATGCGGCGGAACAGGCCATGCGGCGCGCACATGTGGTAACCCTCAACGGTTATTCTGCTGGGTCTGTGGCCGAAACGACATCAGAACGACGGAATGCTGCAGAATGGGACCGGGAAACGCAGGAGGCCTGAGCAGATAAAGCTGGCAGCTCAGGCGGCAAGACTAGAGCCAGCACCAGGAAAACAGCTAAGTTGCGACGGATACCAAATAACCGCACGCATCAGAGTCGGAATAGGTACCAAGACCTCAGGAAGCATGGCAGGTGGAGCGGAGCCCGGGCCGAAATCGTGATGGCTAACGGATCGAGCCAGAGAACAGTAGGAATGTTCACAGCGGACATCCAGTTCGCGGGGACGGCATTTAGCCTGACATTCCTGATTCTGAAACAGGTCGCAGGCGGAATCTTGTTAGGAATGGATTTTCTAGCCGGGGCGCACAGCCTACTACGGTGTGGGAAGCTGGAACTAGAGATAACAGCCATAGAGGACACGGGGAGTGAGGCGAACCCGACAACCAGTAGAGCCGACAAGGAGAGGCCAGAACCATCGGACGCGGAGGTGCAGGCGTTCCTGGAAAACCAAAGGCAAGTATTCGAGAGATTGCAGGGAGTAAGTAACATTACGAGACACGCAATACACTTAAGGGACGACAGACCTATAAAACAACGGTATTACCCACGGAACCCGAAGCAACAAGCTATAATTAACGAACAGGTGGACGAGTTGTTGGCATTAGGGCTAGTGGAGCCATCGCGCAGCCCATATAGCGCACCGGTAGTATTGGTAAAAAAGAAAAACAACACGTGGCGGATGTGCATAGACTATCGACTGTTGAACGAAAGAACGGAGAAGGACGCATACCCGGTGCCAAGGATGAACTATATACTGGACCAATTAAGGGAAGCGAAGTTCATAAGTACGATAGATCTGAAATCCGGATACTGGCAGATACCAATGGAGAAAAGCAGCCAACAATATACGGCATTCACAGTACCGGGGCGGGGACTATTTGAGTGGAAAGTAATGCCATTCGGGTTGACAACAGCTACAGCGGCATTCCAGCGGGCACTGGACACAATAATAGGCCCGGAAATGGAACCGTTTGCGTTTGCCTACCTAGATGACATCGTGGTCATTGGACGGAGCAAACGAGAGCATCTGGAGAAACTGGGGGAAGTGTTCAGAAGACTGCAAAGGGCAAACCTGAAGATAAATCCGGAGAAATGCCAGTTCTTCCAGAAAGAACTGAAATATTTAGGACACGTGGTAACCGACAGAGGAATCAGAACAGACCCAGAGAAAATAGCAGCAATCCAAGAGCTGGCGGCACCGAAAACCACGAAGGAGGTGCACAGTTTCCTAGGGATGGCATCATGGTATCGAAGGTTTATACCTAACTTCACAGAACAGGCCGGAGCGCTCCAAGACCTCCTGAGGAAAGGAAAAAAGTTTGAATGGGCCGAGGAGCATCAGAAGTCGTTCGACAGCTTGAAGGAAAGTTTGACAAAAACTCCTGTACTGTCATGCCCAGACTTCGGCCGCCAGTTCAAACTGCAGACAGATGCCAGCGACTTAGGGATAGGCGCAGTACTGACGCAGGATGGAGAAGACGGGGAACACGTGATCTCGTACGCCAGCAGGAGGCTAAGTAACGTAGAACGGAACTACAGCGCCACCGAAAAGGAATGCCTCGCGATATATTGGGGCATCAATAAGTACAAAATGTACTTAGAAGGTTACCAATTTGTAGTGGTCACGGATCACATGGCACTGAAGTGGCTTAATTCAATAGAAAGTCCGTCAGGGAGAGTGGCGAGATGGGCGTTAGGTCTCCAGCCCTTTCAGTTCGAAGTGCAATACCGAAAGGGAAAATTGAATGCGGTGGCAGACGCACTATCAAGAGCACCAAGAATTGAGCTAAAAGCCATCAAGGAGGCAAAGGACTGGCTAGGACAAAAGCTCGAAGAAGTAGAGAACGACCCAGGAAACACGGAGTTCAAAAAAGTGGGAGATCGACTCTATAAATTAGGCGGGGATAGCAAGGACCCACAGCCATGGAAATTATGCGTCACAAAGGAGGAGATACAACAGGTATTAGCAGAGAACCATAGCACGGCAGAAGCGGGTCACTTAGGCATCTACAAAACGCTGAAACGGGTCAAACAAAGATACTTCTGGCCACGACTGGGAAGGGACGTGAGACGGTTCGTCAGGGAATGCCAGTGTTGCCAGCGATACAAAGTGGCACAACAAAAAACAGCAGGAAAAATGTTGACGAGGATAGCGGAGGCACCTTGGGAAACGATGTGTGTCGATTTTGTCGGACCTCTTCCACGCACGAAACACGGGAATACCACGTTGATCGTGATAGTGGACAAGTTCTCGAAATGGGTAGAACTGGCGGCAATCAGACAAGCAACCGCAGAGGCGTTCTTAAAAGTGTTCAGAGAAAGGGTAATAGCGAGAGTTGGAGCACCGAAAATACTGATCTCGGACAATGGAGTTCAGTTCACGGGGCGGAAAACGAAAACCGCTATGGAGAAATGGGGCGTGCGACAACAGTTTACAGCCCCATATACGCCCCAGGAAAACCCAACAGAGCGCACGAACCGCACCGTAAAGACCATGATAGCACAAATGGCAGAAGAGGAGCATAATAAGTGGGACGAGCATCTACCGGAACTAATGCTGGCGTACAATAGCAGCACATCCGAGTCAACCAAATTTAGCCCGGCACAGCTAATATTTGGGAAGGAGCTGAGACTACCCAACACAGTCTTCGACGCCGCAACCGCCGGGTCAGGACTGACGGCGGAAAGCATAAACAACAGATGGAAAAGGCTGAACAACCTACGGGAAGAAGCCACGGCAAACATGCAAGAAGCCGCTGGAAGACAGAAACAGCACTACGATCTGCGTAAACGGGAGTGGAAACCGGCAATAGGGGACTTGGTATGGTGCAAAACACACCTGCTCTCCAACGCGGCAGATAAATTCAACGCTAAACTAGCGCCAAGATATGATGGTCCATGGAAGGTAGGGAAATTCATATCCCCGGTAATAATACACGTAAAAAATACAGAAACACAGAAAACAAAACGCGTATACATTGGGGACACAAAACCACATCTGGGGGGCGGATCAGATCCGAACAACACAACACAAAAAACCCAGAACACAACACTAAACACACATAACACAACACTAAACACACATAGCACAACACTAGAACACACACTCAACACAACACTAACCAAAACGCATATGACAACACTAAGGTGCAAACATTTCACAACACTAAACAGCGGCAAAATCCATCATAGTAACAAGACACTTCAAAACTCTATTACAGGGAATATGCAGCGGCTCCAGGAGAGCATGAGGAAATTCCGGCAGCGCCACGCGAGCATTGCAGCGGCGACCAGGACGGCAGTAGCGATCGAGGCAACGGCCATGGCAGGGGGCACGCGAAAGAGGACGGCACCAGCAAGGATGGGTACGGCGGCATCGGCAAGCGAGGAGTCAGCGGTCCCAGCAGGCAGGAGGCGTATCGCGCACGGACCGCGCACAACAGCAGAGGCACTGCAGCAGGAGCCAGGGAACACAGGCGAAACGGCAGCACGCCACCAGGCGCCGATACAGGTGACGCAACCCGCGTGTGCAAGCTCCAACGCTCACGAACGCTCGCCAGCGCGTGGAAACCGGCCAGGTCAACCAACGCCGCCGACCAGCCAGCGACCGCGATCACCAGCGCGCAGCAGCCGCCAACAGCAAACAACGATGCCGGGACGCCAGCTGTCGCCACCGCATGGCAGCCACCCAAGCCGACCGCATGGCAGCCACCAAAACCAACCGATAGCACCAGCCGGCCAGCAGACACGATCACCGTCGCGCAGCAGCCGTCAACGGCAAGCACGGATGCCGGTACGCCAACTGTCGCCACCGCAGGGCAGTCACTCAAGCCGCCCGACAACACCGACCAACGAACGATCGCAACCGAGCAGCAGCCGCCAACAGCGCCCAGAAGTTCAGCAGCAGGCACCGACACGGGCTCAATACCAGGCCCCGCCGGGGCAGGCAGGAGATTACGGGAGCCGGAGGAAGGAGCATGCACGCCCACATCCGCCAGGACCAGCAGCCACCTCTCCCGACCGGGACATTATAGAGATCCACTCAGACGAGGAGACCACGCACGGCTGGAGGATCCCGACGGGAGCGCAGCTGTCAAAGGAGGCCGTGAGGGGCATCAAGGAGAGACTGGCGCGGAAGCGGTACGGCCAACAGCAGGCGTGGATCACGCGGGACGGATCGATGACCTGGCGCGTAGTAGTGTCGAGGAACAATAAAGTAACGCTGGTGGAACACAGCGCCAACAAAAGGAGGGGGGAGTGTGACGAATAACGCACAAATAAATAAATATTATATTAGAGAATAAGAAGAAGACACAAATATTAGAGACTAAGAAGAAGAATAAGCGACAACAACTGAAGACACAAAAGATACATAGGAAATAAGAGACAATACTTGGAGTAAATAAAAACAAAGAACAAACAAACCAAAATAAAACGAGCGCCAGTTTAATTTAAATGCGCGCGCGCGCCACGAACAGAGAGAGGTCACATTGGCCCGCTAAGGGCTGGCCACACTATTATGGCAAATTCCTTCGGGAGCGACAGCCACACTAGAGCGCTATATAAGGCGAGCGCCAGCCGTAGAATGGCATTCAGTTTTCGGCCGGCGATCGGCCAAGTCCTCTAACAACTTCTCGATTTTAGAAGACCTAAGGGCCTCTAACAACCTCTCTCATTTAGAAGACCTTAGGGCCTCTACAAACTTAGAAGACCTTAGGGCCTCTACAAACTTAGAAGACCTTAGGGCCTCTACAAACTTCTCCTCTTAGAAGACCTTAAGGCCTCTACAAACTTCTCATCTTAGAAGACCTTAGGGCCTCTACAAACTTCTCATCTTAGAAGACCTTAGGGCCTCTACAAACCTCTCATCTTAGAAGACCTTAGGGCCTCTATAAACTTCTAAAGATTGGAAGACCTTAGGGACTCCACAAATCTGCTCGCTAACTGGAAGACCTCAGGGTCTCCGCTAACAAGTTATTCCACTAACTGGCAGACCTGAGGGCCTCCACCAGGTATTCTCACTCTAGGAGATCTGAGGGGCATCCGCGCATCGGCGTTTCACCGACACTGTCGACCCGAGCGGGAAGGATGTACCTGACCCTGAAGTGCGGCGTTCCAGAGCGACTACCCACGGCAGCAGACTAAATCCAATCTTTTTAACACTTGTAATGTTCGAGGCAATAAACAGATAATTATAGTTACGGCATATTTCTCGGCGTTCTACTCTGGGACCGGGTCGGCATCTCTTTCAGCAACCACCTCAGACAACAAATAAATTTCTGAGACGAACCCTGGCCATCCTTGAGCCCCGAGGAATGACCTAACCGTCACACATTTTACATATACTTATTATGTTTAAAGTTTGACAGTTACAGTTTTACATTTCCAGTTTTATATATTTTATACATTTACCGATCGCTTCTATGGCAGCTATAAGATATAGCTGTCCGATTTTTATGAAATTTATACCAAAATTCTAGAATAATTAAAAAAGCTTATATCTCAGAGTAAATAAAAATGCGTTGAGAAACAACGAAGCTATAATTTTATTTCTAATAATTTCTCGATCGTTCCTATGGCAGCTATATCATATAGTCGTCCGATTTTCATACAATTTTTACCAAAATTCTGAAATAATATTAAATGGCCATATCTAAAAAATGGTTCAAAAATGTTGAAAAACAGCAAAGCTATATTTATTTTTCTAAAAATTTATCGAACATTTGTATGGCAGCTATATGATATAGTCGTCCGATCCGGCCCGTTCTGACATATATAGCAGTGAGAAGACTATATGCAAAGTTTCATTCAGATAGCTTTAAAACTGAGGGACTAGTTTGCGTAGAAACAGACAGACGGACAGACGGACAGACAGACAGACGGACAGACGGACATGGCTAGATCGACTCGGCTGTTGGTGCTGATCAAGAATATATATACTTTAAAGGGTCGGAAACGTCTCCTTCACAGCGTTGCAAACTTCTGACTGAAATTATAATACCCTGCAAGGGTATAAAAACAATTGTTGTTTTTTTTTTTCAAGTTAATTACATAAAAATATTAATTTGTCAAATCATTGTACCCATTTTAAAGGAAAAGGCTAATTGTTTTTGCATTAATTTAAGTGCCAAAGGGAAGTTATTAGCGAATTTGAGGGCCTCTGCCTCTTTTATGACGAAATTGAATATGAAAATGACGTTTTTTTATTTATTATGTTTCATCTTGTTCGCTATAAAAGAAAAAATGACCTTATACACTTTAAAAATAATAATAATTGAAAAAATCGTCAAGCGAGGGCGGAACCCCGCCCATTTTTCCAAAAAAACATTTCTTATGGAGTCCATAACTATAATAAAAAAAGCGTTTCGAAATATATTAATTAGTTCAAAAGTTATTAATTAATACCATAAATGGCCAAACTCCCCATAGTGTGCTGTAGAAAAATTGTTATACCTAAATGCCAAGACTAGTGGCGAAGCTTATTTCATAATTTCCAAATCGCCACTTACCACCTTCCGCTCAGCCTGGAAAACCCTTACTAAGCGTTTCGAAAAATAAACGATCGCAGGGGAACAGCCAACTGAATATTGAACGCAAATCTGTGGCAGCCTGGAAGGAGCTGCAAAATACAATTCAAAATAACCTTACATCCCAAACACTGTCCGGCCTTCCTACGGATAATTGGCATTGTCTATTGGCTTATTTGTGTTCCACGAAGCTTCCAAATCTGACACTCTCATTGTGGGAGAAATCCTTACCGAATAAAACCAAAATTTTAAAGTGGCTAGAACTTGATTCTTTCCATACTGAGCGCTATAGAACTCCAGAAATAAATACAAAATGTTTTTATTAGCATCGACCTGTTTTTGTTTAGCATTCGTAATTGCAGGACTTGAGGTCATAGCCGGCTTCGATTTTATAAAAATCAAAGACTCGGCTTTAGCTAAGAACAACAAAAAGAACTTGTCTTGGTACTTTACCTTCAATCTTAGGATCCTCATCCTCATCCTCATCCTCATCCTCATCCACCGGTTTATTCGCCTTAGCGCTGAGAAACGGCTCCAAGCAGTAATCGAAAAGCAATACTGCGTCAACTGCCTGGCCCACCACCATTCCGGAGGATAACAATAAAAATGAACTCTGTAAGGAAGTTCGACGGCTGGGGTAAGTCTCAGTCACGTCCAAGGTCCTCTTTATCAGAAAAATTTATAAAGATGTGGGACAAAGTGTTTTGACGGCCGGCAAACTGACATGAGATGGTAGTGGTCAGTTACCGGGATACGCAGCCAGAAAAATGGCTGATTCGGTCTCTGCAATAGAGCGAAATACTCGGCGGAGCGCGTTTTGGGTCGGGCCCATAGCAGACGCTATAAGGAGACCGAGAGGGGGTCGATTATGGGGACCACCGCTTCCTAGGGCAGAGTTTATGGCCTAAAATCTAGGCATTTTGGGAAAATATTCTACGTGAGTCATGGCCAGCGTGATTGTGGGTCGTTCCCTCGCGAGCTGGCCTCGATTTGAGCCGAAAATTATACTTAAGAGAGCTTTTCTTGAATTTATTTAATTTTCCCTCATTTTTAAATTCCTCTGCATTTATTTTCCCAGTGTGGGCAGCGTACGGCCTCTCGGAAGTGTGGGGCAGGAGTTATGCTCGCCACGAGAAAGCAAAAAAATATATTTAAATAAAATTTATTAAATTTTTATAATCAAAGTTTGGAGTTTCATTTCTCCCAGTGTAGGCGAAAACTCAGCCGTTCTCCGCAAGACGATGCCGGAAATTTCCCCCTCACCGCAAACGCATGGCCATCACACAGCGCTAAATATCCGGAGAAATATTTAATTTAATTTGCCGGAATACATTTTCCGCGAAGATAAGGTCCACCCTTTTGCCGGGCTTTGACTTTGTAATAAAGTATTTCCTTATTAAATTCCCAACTGATTTTTCTACGAGGAGAAACGGCGAGGAGCGAAATATTTTTAATTTATCAATTTCAGTGAAGTTTTAGCAAAAGTTTGGGTCCACCCCTTTTTTTTCCCTATGCATGCCTCGTTTGGCAAAAAGCTTGGCGTAGGTCAGGGAAAATGATATAGAGACGGCGAGGGGAGTTTTATTTTATATATATATGTCCAAGTTTTATTTGATTATTTTCAGGTTTTTCCATCTTTATTTAATAATTTTAACTTTCGTTTGTATTTAAATAAATTTTAGTTTTTCGTTTGTATTTAAATAGATTCTAATTCTCATTATTTATTTGAACAAGTTTTCTTTGCAAAATTTTCCTTTTGGCTTTCGTTTGGTTTTATCTAATAAAGTTTGCAGGGATTTTTAAGGGTTAGATTTTTGGGGCATTATTTCTAGCCTACTCTAGCGAAAACCGCATCTTGGCCGTCGAGAAATTTCTATTTACACATGTACCCGCTGGCCAAAATGCGATCCTCCCTATACACTCACCCGTCTCCGGTTTTCCCGCACACACACACGTGCCTGTGGCTGCTGCTTCCGCCACGTCCTCGCCTCCGCTTCCAAAAGAATTTGCCTCTTTGGCCGTCGAGAAAAACTTCTCCGCACTCCACTGGCTGCCTCACGATCACAGGGCACTTCGAGCACCACCTCCTGGTTGGTCTCGGGTAGAAAAGAAATTGTCACTGTCAATATACACTTTTTCTGCACTCGTTTGGTCGCAGAAAAAAACTCCGTCGCGTGAAAACACTCCCGTTTGGCTCCGTTGAAAAAACTACGTCGACCGCTCGCACGTCTGTCCGTTTTCGTCGCCTCCGCCAAAGTAAATCCAGCCACGCGGCTTTGCCAAATTTTCGGCCGCGCTGGTAATTTTCCATTGCTCTTGCATTTCGGTGCATCAGCTTCCCTCTCGCTCTCTCCCGTTGGCGCGTGCCAATTTTCGGGGGTTGCTTTGCGCTCGATCGTATGCTCGCTCTCCGTTGCTCTCATACGGCGCTAACTCCGTGGCCACTTGTTCGTGGTGAATAACCCTCTCTGCTCTCCGAGTGTAGTTTTTTTTTTTTTTTTTTTTTTTTTATTGAAAAGAATATAGGCTTAAGTACATATGTTACAGAGGATGGATAGGGTGGAAAGTCCGCACCCGTGGGACTGCCGCAAAGCTATACTTCACGGGGGCGGTTGGCGGTCCTGTTGCCGCTCATCGGTCGCCTTCGGTGCGACGGGTCTGCTCCCGGCGCCTCAGCTCTCGCATCACGGTTGCTGCCATTTCGGCAGCCGCATTCCATTTGGAGGGGGTCTCCAACATGCAA